TAGAAGATCAAAACGAAAAATAAATTACAAAAATGAAATTACACGAACTACTTTTGCGGATTTTGCCACAGCTAGAATAACCCACATTTTCAAGATTTTCGTGGTATTAATTCATTATTTCACAACAGAACATCAAAATAATATATCAGTTAACCATAAGAAATAATCAATTTTAGAATAGTAAACTGCGTAGTAAAGACGTCTGTTAAGTGAAATAAACAGTTCCCCTGAAATTTGCACAAAAATCAATTAAAAAAGAAATCAAAATAATTTTTCACCCTGAAATATTACTCTAAAAACACCACACAAAATTATTATGATTGATGCTCTTCTTTATCGCGATCAACAGAATATAAGCATTTACATCAAACCAGTGGCGGATTATACGACAAACGAAGTACGCGGTCGCGGGAGTCCTGAGTTTTTAGGAGCCCAAAAAAATGGTGTGAATTTTTGTAGTGCCAAGGAATTTGTTTTTAAACAAATTTTTAAAATTTTTTAAATTTGCATAGCTGGCTTATTTTTTTAATAACATAATTTTTGCAAAATAGAAAATAGAAATTTTTTGTAAATTTGTTTATTTTTAATGAGTAAATTTTCAAAAATTAACTTAAAACAAGTAAAAATGTTTTTCTGACAATCTGAGTTTAAAAATTTGTTTTTGAAATCTTTAGAAATAACTTTGATTGCTAAATGGCAATTACTTGAACCAGTCAAACCACTTAATAGAAACTTCACGAATGTTGTGTCTGATCTGCAAGTGGACACACGACTGTCGAGTTTCACGAATCTAGTCTTAATATTTTTCAAAATATTTAAAATTCTCTTTTGCAGTTGTATGGCAGCTACACGAACCTGTCAAGCAATTCCACCAAAACTTCAGAAATACGTCTGATTTGAAATTGGACACACGACTGTCGAGTTTCATGAATCTAGCTATAATATTTTTTCAAATATTTAAAATTAATTTTCGGAGTTGTTTCGGAGCTACCCGAACCAGTGAAGCCATTCCATTAAAATTTTTCAGAACATATGTGAAGTGTAATTCGACACATTTTTGATATTAATATCTCTATAACTTTTTGAAATATTTAAAAAAACCTCTTTGAGTTGTATGGCAGCTACCCGAACCCGTTATCCGAATTGGTTCAATTGCAATAGCAGCCGTCGTTGGCACAAATGAAAAAACTTGTGAAAGTTTAATGTCGATTGCATTATTCGTTTTTAAATTTTTGAGACGGGCGGACATGTCTAAATCGACGCAGAATTTTACGCTGAGCAAGAATACATATGTATATATGTCTATACCGGAGACGACTCTTTCAAGTGGTTACAAACTCCATACCAAAGTGAGTATACCCCTCACGAAGTGCAGGGTATAAAAAATCACAATACATTTTTACTTTCTGTAAATCCATAGTTTTAATTGTATAAAATTTTATTGTACTAATAAAACTCTTGTGTCGCAGTGGTAAAAAGGATATCGCAGTGCTAAATATTACTTTAAATTAGGGCTTCGTATTAGAATATAAATATATTTATATTAATATATAATATACATATATTTCATTATAACTTAATATTATTATATATTAAGTTTTAATAAAATATATATATTTGAAATATTTAACAAAAATAAACCAAAATATTATTGTTACAGTAAGCAACATGAAAAGATATCAAAGTGCTGTCCTGAAAAGTATCAAAACTTACCTAAGAAATATTATGGAAGAAGACAGATTAAATGATATGGCGACTTTATACATAAATATAAAAAGATATTTTTACTCAAATTAATAATGATATAATTGACGAATTCGCTAAAAATAAAGCAAGAAGAAAGTTTATCTAAAAAATTGTTATTTTATTTATTTCCTAATTTCTTTAGTTCAACTCTCTAAAGGTCAAAGTGTAGTGTTGAAAGGTAAACGTTTCAATACTAAATGAAATAAGATTCAAGTGAATCGGTTTGGCAAGTTTATGTATTATTTTGAAATCAATTTTTCAATAATTTTACTAGGTGAACTAATTTTTAATAAATTTTATGCAAAACAATTTGTTATTAAAGTAAATTTTGTATTTAAAAAGACCAAAATTTGGATGAACTCTTTTTACATAAACTTGGAAACATGAAGCTTTTTTTCATATTTTTGGAAACCATAATACATTATATTACAAAAGATAGGTATAATTTCACCCTATTTTAATGAATGGTATCACAGTACCCCCCAATATTGTGCAATATAAAAGAACAAGGGGCTGCATTCACGACATTCATTGCCCTTTATATCAAATTCTCATCTTGTTACATGGTAAATTTTTAAAAAATCAAGTGTATTAGGGAGTTTGAGGTATGCTTTTTTTGCAGAATAAAATAAACTTTTATCGTTTTGCTCGATTATTTTAAAAATTCAACAAAAAATAAAAAAATTCCATGTGGTTATCAAATAACCGACCGCAACGTACATCGCTCAAGCTAGCAAAAGGGCTGCATAAGATCATGAAAATATCCTTTAAATACTTCTTCTAAATTTTATGAATGTTACTAGCTTGTATCTTTTTGGATGTTACCTTTAGCTTATAAGTAGAAAAATGCAAAATTGGGCTTTTAGAAAGGGTTCACGTTATGGCATCCAAATTCTTTGAATTCTTTGAAACTTCCTCAATTGCCTCAATTTGCAGAACCCAAATATTAAATTTCAAAAAATTCAGTAAAATAGTTCCTTAGGTATAAAACAAGCCCCAGTAAAAGTTCAATTTCCGAGTCTTGAAACTCCCAAAAAATTTATACTTTCATTGTTTTAACACATCAATTTATTAAATTTCAAGGAAATCAGTTGATTGTTTCCGCTTAAATTCTCAAAAATGTAAATTTGGACGTAGTAAAAGTTCAGTTACTGACACTCAACTTCTTTTAAAAGCTAGGTGGTGTGTTGTACTATTAGCCCAAACTTATATATAAAATTTCAAGAAAATTTGTTAATTATATTTTTAAATATGATTAAAAATGTAAATTCTGTAAAATCGTCTAGTTCCCGAGATCTGAAATATCCAAAAAATTGATGAATCTTTGACATAGCTAAAGTAACCTCATATTTAAGATTTCACCAATTCAGGCGAGCTTGAAATATACGCGTGTATATCACAAACCAATAGACCGACATCTTCCATCTTCCCAAAAATAGTTTATTTAAGCTTCCCTACCATGGAGAAGTGCGTTTCTACTGAAAGCCCGATATGCAAAATTTATTGCCATCACACAACCTTCCTTATCTTATGGAATGCGACCGGAAAAAATTAAGGAATCAGCTATTCTTGCATTATAATACACATACAAAATTTTTTAACTTTACCATAGAGTGAAACGTAACCTATTCATAGTTTAGTTTTTAAATGTCTCACTTGACTAATTTTTCCTGGCATTTAGATATAGGAATGTTATATTTTTCATGTCGTAAATGAACGTAATTGTAATATTATAACATCTTACTAAAAATTCATTTTAGAATATCCTATATTTAAAGTAAATTTTGTTGTCTCTGGTATATTTTTATTGTCCAATTTGGCATCCTTTTATGGTGTAAAAACATCTGTTAAAGTTTCGTAATTATGATCTGCAAAGGCCTTTATTCGCTTTTTACACGTATAAATTATGTTATTAGTGGAATGTAAATCTTAAAAGACAGACATATTAACTTCATAAATTTATCATGATATGTTGGACATAAATTAAAGCTTATAGTGAATAAAAAGCAAATCGACTGTTATCCGTTGCAACAACAAATAAGAAAATAAAAAGATTATTCTTTTTCACTTGCTCAATAATAGAAAAAGAATGAAATAAAATAATATTTGTGCTCATTACACACATTTTATGTACACGAAAATGTAATTGTGTTACATACATTACATGCGTAGGTATGCATATGGTAATGAACGTATTGTGTGCTTGATGTTAAAATTTAAAATGTTGCTTGTCTGTGTAATAACAATAATGCAGGTCTGCATCAACTGTAGCTAAAAAACAGAAATAACTTTCAATTCAGAAATATTTTCCCATTAAAAGTAAAACTAATGTATTAATCAAAAGGAAAATATCATAGTTTTGTGGAACATGACAACTTAAAGGTACCATGACCAACTAAAATTTCTAATTAATCAAAACAATATTAATACGGAATTAGATACTTTTATAAAAAATTATTTATCTTCTAGTTGATTTGCTCTAATATTTTTAAGTGATTTTAAAATTTAAATGATTATGTTATTGTTTTAAGCAGAAGTGAGTCCTTGATAAAAATCAATTTTGTAATCAAAAATTTCAAAATCGCCATCTTTCACTTTTTCGTTTATACAAAGTAGTGGCAATAATTACCTAATTTTATTTAAGGTTAGCTGAAATGGACATTGTAATTATAAAATAATTAACGATTAAGCTGATTTTCTAGTCAGATCAGTTTTATTAATATATTTCGATATTGTGAAGTTGGTGGAGTTGTAGGAAAAAACTTGATTGAATTATGTATAAGAAAAAAATAGAAACTTACTTTGTTTCGGTATGTTTAGAAAAGCCCATTGTTGAGCTTGAAAACCTATTCAGCAGCGCAAGAATGTTAAATAAATTTTTGTTTTATTCATAATTTTCTTCGACATTTGTAATCGGACTATTTTAAAAACTTTTGCAATTGAACTATTAAAATAACTTTTTATTTATACACACATATAAAGATAATTAGAAATTTTCAAACTTAATTTATTTTGAACCATTTTCATTATATATATAATATCTTATTTTTCATTAAATTATGCAGCCAGCAACATAGCTATATGTACTTCAAATTATTTAGTTAAAATTATTTTAATTTAAAAAGAGCAGTTTAATATTAATTACATTTTAAATTAAATAAAATATTACACAAACATTCATATACTAATTAATTACACAAACATTTAAATCTTAACTAATTATTACAAATTTTTACAAATATATCACAAATTAGAAATAAAACGTGCCTATAAAAGAAAAAATGTACAAATTAACGAATTAAAGTTTTAAAAATTTCTGATTGTCTTGTTAAATTTGAAGTAGATGATTTGGAATGTGTACTTTTTCCATTACGGTTGGGTTGTGTGAAAAAATTAAAAATGGATAACATGTCATCATCACCAGCTGTAGCTAATTGTCTTCCATCAGGACTAAACAGTAAAAAATGAACACGATCTTCATGAATTTTTAAAACGTCTATTATGCGATCAAAAGATGCCATAATTAAAATTTCAAAAGTAATACAACCATCGGGATCTTATAGAATGCAAAAAAAAAATTTAAAGCATTAAGCAGGAATTAGGATTTTCACCAAAAAATCTTACTTTTTATACAATAACTAACAACCAACTCTGCGGAAATTTTGTTAAAAGCTATTGCATCAATTACACAATCATTGTCCCTTCTATTATATTGAGCAACAATACTTCTTGTTTGAATATTAACAATTAGAATTGAATGAGATTTCGCTATAAATAGATTTTTAAAAAATTTATCAAATCAAAATGGTATAGAATGATTTTGGTCCAGAATGTTAAAATTGCACTGATGGATTAAATATACTATATACAAATTGAGAAAATCATTCTACTAATATTGCTAGAAAAATAGATAATTTTAGTTGCTTTAGGTACAATTTTTAAATATTTTTAATTTTTAAATATAAATATAATTTATATTTAAAAATAAATAAATATAAAAAAATAAATATAAAATTATATTTATATTTAAAAATTATACCTAAATTTTTTATGTTTATATTTTTATGTTTAAAAACTTTATTATATTAATTAAATTAAATTTTTTTTAGAAGTGAATTATAACAATAATAGTATAGTCAATTGGATTTGGTGTCACTTAACCAAGTTACTGTTTAAAATAAATTTTTGCAGTTTTTTGTCTCAATCTGTTATAAATCAACTAACTTACCAACGGCTATATCAATCGGATTCCAGGGGTGCCAATCAATAAAGGCTTTACTTGGATTAGAAATCGTGTTACTCTTTAATCTTAATTGAATTTTAAATGATGGCCATTTCATTATTACAACCAAGCCATGGTGATCACTAGTTCCCAAATATTTAGCTCCGATATTAAATTTAATATCACTTATTCGATGTGAATGATAGTGAATAACATTAGTTTTCGATGTCAAAGAATTAACAACATAAATTTGACCAGTGCTCATACCACATAAGATATAAATACCTTGAGGATGCCATTCAATACAGACAATTTCTTGCTGTTGTTCCGATAGAATAAAAGAATCTTTTAAACATAAGTCATTTGTTGTACTATTAGTATTTTTCATACTCCATATTTGAATTACTAAGATGTACAAAAAAAAAAAAAACATTTATTCCATAAAAATATTGTATCACAATTTTTTTTATTTTTATACGTGGCTTTTGAAATTTCTCGCAACCCAATGCTAAGGATTCCCCTTTAGGACTAAAACGAAGTGCTGTTACAAATTTTGTTCGATACACAACCGTTTTATCTGTTTCACATGTCCATATTACTAAATCTTGTCCAAATGATGCACCAATTTGATCCTTGTACGACCAATCAATAATTTTTTTAGCTAAAATATTTTAATACTTGAAATTTCCTAAATAATGATTCAAAGTTTAATCTTTAAAATTACATGAATGTAATTTGAATGCAGGCAGATCATGTGTGGAGTCTACGCAAGCAGATGGTTTTGCTCTTGGCTTACACTGCCAATCTAATTTTTCTCTATTGTTATTTATGTACGTTACATTTTTAACTGGTGGATTCAAAACAAATTTTGAATTTATATTGTGTATTAAGTATTTGTCATTAAATTGATAAATTCTTTTCGGTCTTAAATCGAATAACTCAGACATATAAACTCCATAATTAAATCCTTTCCAATAACCGGACTTAAGGCGCTGTGAACGAAAATAATTTTGATATAAAACTTTTTTCTTAATATACTTTAAGATAATTTACCATTTGTATGATATCCTCTTCATTGGATTTATTTTTATTTAGCGCACGATTCCGAATCAGTTCTGTATTTCCAAAAGCATACCTCCTTGGAATAAATCGATCACCGAATTTATGAGGTATTTTTTCCTCACAATGGCTATATGTCTACAAGAGAGGGAAATTGTCCTTATTTGTAAAAATTCTGAAGTATTTCAGGAAAAATTTCAAATATTTTTAAAATATCAAATGTTTTTTTAATCACCGAATAACATTTTCCATTTGTTTAACTCATTAACCAATAAGATCGTAAAACCTCAACCAAGACCAAAATATAACTATGTATGTGCATATGTATGACATAGTTCAATTTCTTCAGATTATTATTTTATGCTTCTTCAGATTATCATTAGAAGAGACAAAAAATAATAGAGTAAAAAACTTAAAAGTAATTAAAAACGAGAATAGGTAGTTGACCGTGTAAACTCTGTGATACCACTACGAGTAGATGATTTTAAATGTTACATGATAATAAATTGCTACATATAGTACTTTTTACCGACAGGTTGTATACTATAAAGGAAGTTATGTGTTTTGTTAATGAGTTTTACCGAAAACTCATTAACAAAAGCGTTTCTACCGAGAAACGCTATTCTCCATGGTAGGAAAATGTAAATATAATTTTTAGCAACCTGTCGATATGTCCGTATGTGTATGTGCACACGTGTATCTCAAGTTCGGTTTAGCCGATTTTCGTGAAATTTTATACGTGAGTTTGTTTTAGTTGTTTCTATGAATTGATCAACTTTTAGGAACTGCACTTTAATGCGGGCCAATTTTAGATGTTTGCCCTTATAAAAATAAATAATCAATCAATTTCCTTGGAATTTAATATTTAAATTTGGAGTGTTAAAACAATGAACATATAAATTTTTTGGAACGATAAGTGGCCGGAAGTCGAACTAGAGGCCGAATTTACATTTTTTATCATATCTACGGAGCGAATTGATCGAATTTCTTAAAATTTGATATTTAAGTTCTGGTTGTTAAAAAAACTAATTGGCGAGCATTTCATAGAATTCGAGTAGCACAAACCGAAACTCTACTAAGAGCCAAATTTACATTTTTCTAGGTATTTTATTGGTAAAAACTTTTACCAAAAATAATGACCATTTAACATATTCACTTATGCTAAATTTAGCACCGTAGTTTCAACAGTTTTCAAAATATATTACCAAATGACTTTTGAAGTGGTTTGAAGTAGTTGAACTCAAGGAATCAAGTAATTTCAACAGCTTTTATTAAATATAACAACCCTCATTATACTATATTTTCAATACCTAGAATATTTTAACGATATAATTAAATAGCTTTTGAAGTTGTAAGGCAGATCTCATTAAATTGAAATACGGTTCTCACATTTACTGTAAGACAACAATTGTGAAAATTTGGTGAACTTAGCTCAATTAGTTTTGGTTATTGCTGGGACGGACCGATACACGCTGTTCGAAAACAGATACTTTTTTCTATATCTGAGACACCTTTTTCTTAAGGTTACAAACAAAGCAAAAAATAAATAATACACTTCGAACTCACGTTCGTACGGATGTAAAAAAGGGAGAAAATAATTTCTAAAACTTCGCTCTAACTCAAAGGCTAGTATGGTTGAAAATTTAAACTTTAATAAACGAAATTTGTTTGAAAAAAAGACACCTGTTTAAATTTGCGTTTAATGTGATCTTTGGGTGCCGATTAATTAATATTCAGTAATCTTGATATTGCAATAGACACGCAACCGTTGTTCTTTTTACATCATTAGAATTACGAAACAATACATTTCACAAAATAAGTTTTAACCAAATCGTGTTATTTAGCAAACTGCATGAAAAGACTGCATACCTAGTTATTATATATATACTTTATATACATGGTCTAAGATTGTATAATATGGTGTAGAAACAATTTAACACAAGCATGGAAAAGTAATTGCAGCGCTTTTTCTTGAAACAAATATGAAAAATAACGTAAAATGGTAAAATGCAACTTCAGTATTATTTAGAGAGTTCTCTTAAAATCTGAAGGCATAAACAAAAAATAAATTTTCAGTACGGAGGACATAAAGTGCTTTGATACAAGATGTGACACAAAATTTATTTAATTTAAATCAATACAATCTTGGTTACAAATTTTAAATTCTGGAGTATAAGTTCTTATTATTCGTTTTAATGGGGTAGTTAGTATGAAACCACTTTACCGATTATAAATTTTTTTATTTCGTTCAAAAAATTATTACTTCTCCATTTTCTTATTGTCACATCTGAAATTTGCCATTTCAGATGAGTATCTAATAATAATTTACTTTTGCGAGCACTTTTTCAATTTTTCAATAGAGTTACTTTTCAAAATTCATCTAAAGCATTCGGGTTTCACATTCATCTAAAGCATTCGGGTTTGATAGGAAAATTTTAGTTTTGCAATATACATCTTTTATCTCCATAACCAATTATTACAAAAAAACTTCCGCTTTTCGAAAATCATGATCTTTAAACTGGATATTCAAGAACCATACCACTTCAATTAAATAAATTACATTTTCACAATACTTCATTTCAGCATATTCTTTACATGTTCAAATTAGGAATTACATAGCATAACAATTCAAAATTTCCATCAAGAAAGTCAAAAATTTCATCCTCATTTTCACATTTTGTATAATAAATGCACACTGTAAATCACATTTTTACTAAGCTTTTAATCCAAATCTCCTTTAACAAGAACATGCACTTTCAAAAATCTTAACATATGTGAACAAAATAAAAGGTAACTGATGTAATGGAAGAAATTATAAAAAACAAAGAATATTGAGACGTTGGTGTAAATTTCCAATAAAAGGCTTGTATCTTCCTTTCTTCTGTACTTCCTCATTATTAATGTTCATTAAAAATTCACTTGAAACTTTTACGTAAAACATCATTTCTATTAGCTTTAATGCTATTTAATTTCAATAGAAAATAAATCAAGAATTGCATAAAATAAAAAAGGTATGTATGGAACTAAATTTAAGGAAAAACGAGAAAAAATAGAGTTGACCGTGTCAACTCTGTGAACCCGTACGATTTTGTCATCCTATGTGCGAATAAATATTTCATAGCTTACCATATTGATTTGTGCAAAATTGCAGTACTGTGTTTTCAATATTTTCTTTGTGACGCGAGTCAAGAAATTTCAATGATTTTTATCACACATAACAGCAATAATACTCTTGTTTTCGCGAGATTTCTGTATTATAATTCCAATAATTTCTGAGATAATGCCAACTAACTTTAGGAGTTGTATGACTGCTACCAGAAAGAGCTAAGCAATTTCAACGACATTTATTAACCACATTGGCCCTACTAATATATTAGCTTGCGTGAAATTTCAATACCATAGCTTTTATAGTTTCTGACATATAAACAAATAACTTTTGAAATTGTACGGCAGGTACCAGAAGGAGCCGAGAAATTTCAACGACTTTTATGAAACACATTGGCCCTACTAATATATTCGTTTGTGTGAAATTTCAATACCTCAACTTTTATAGTTTCTGAAATATAGCCAAATGACTTTTGAAATTGTATGGCAGGTGCCAGAAGGAGCCAAGTAATTTCAACGACTTTTATCAGACACATTGGCCCTACTAATATATTCGTTTGTGTGAAATTTCAATAACACAGCTTAATAGTTTCTCAGATATAGCGAAATAATTTTTGAAGTTGTATGGCAGCTACCCGAACCGGTACCCGGATCATGTCCAATTTGAATAGGGTTCTGGCACTTACTACAATAAATCATTTTTGAATATTTGGTGAATTTAGTTCAATTTGTTTTTGAATTATCGGCGGGACGGACCGACAGACAAAACTCAATCAACTCAGAATTCGACGCTGATCAAAAACATACACTTGAGTCTATATCTCCATTAGAACATTATTTCTAAGCGTTACAAACGGTAGGGCAAATTTAGTATACCCTTCGAGCATACGTTCGTACGGGTATAATGAAAAACATGTTTGTAAAGGCAAAAGAGCAAATTCATAATAATAAGAAAACTAACCAGTTAAAACTTTGTTAAAAATAAAATGTGTGTACTCGTAAATACACAGAACAAGAAAAAAGAGAAAGAAAGTGAACTATTTCAATGTTAAGTAACTGACTTGCAATGGCAATCTATCATCTCACTATTTTGTGCAGGCATGTAACATGTCTTCACCTAAACAAGCTAAAGAACATCAGTTTTTTCCACACTTCACTTCAGTTTTATACAAAAGAATGAAGAATAAAAATTAGAAGAAAAAAAAAAATAAAACATAACATTACCATAGCTGTTTATTGTGTGCTTGCAACAGTTTGAGCTGTCTGGCACACGTACTCGTAATATTTCTTTTAACTCGTAATATTTTTTCTACATGCTCCAGTATACACATATACACGTACAAAAACAAACATTTGAGGCACAGCATATCCAATTAGGAAAAATTTATTATGTGATTGCAAATGAAAATCTAACTTCTGTTTGACATTTTTTCCTTATTTCAATTTTTTTTCATTCTCTTAAAAAACGTCCACTCGTTTTTATTGGATTCAAGAACTTTACGTGTGGATTTAAGAACTTTACGTATTACCCACCTTGTCACATTTTATAGGAGTTTTTTTTTAAATTTTTATTCCTTTTTGTTTTTTCGAAATTAAAAAAAAACTGGCCAATATTTTAAAAGTTTCATTTTCAAATTTACAGATTAGGATTTGGTTTCAAAAACAAAATCAATCCTTAAAGAACGATGACATAGGTTAAGTAAGAAAGATAAAACCTAATTCACAAAATTTAAACAAAGGTTTATTATGTAAGAAAGTTAGAGAAATCTTATTAGGGCTATGTCAATTGATTTAAGTCAAAATAATTTTTTCAAGTCAAGTTTGGTTAATGTGTTTAAATTTCGACCTCTTATTTATTAAGATAGCTGATTCTGATTCTTGATTAGTATTATCTGATCGTCTTTCGTGACGTTTTATTTTCCAAGGCAACAACTTCGATAATAACCTATACTCAAAATTAAACGAAATTTATGGCAAATGTTTAATAAGATAACATAAGAGGGTGTCCTACGATCTATTCGAGCAATCTTGAT